TCAAATTAACGTCTCCAAATGTTATTTCACTTAATCTTGTATTTCTTTAGGACCAAATAAGTCACATAAAGATACGTCTGTAGTTGTGGGTAACATGGAGGAGGGGGAGGAATACAACAACCCTTACAAATATGAAGTTATGGTCAGAGTTGTATAGTAAATAAGGGATCTTAAAAAACCCAACCCAACAAGCTGTGCTTTTGTATGACCCCCTTATCCCATATATCCAGTCAGATGCCAAATGTTGTTCCAAACTCCACAGCCTCTCTCCCATGTACCCCCTTGCTCGGGTCCTTGTCGCCCCTCTCCCGGGCTATTATAATCGGCTCCTTGGCTCCCCTGCTTCAGGTCTTCCTCTCACTAATCCTCCTTCCACACAACTGCCAAAGCACAGGTCTAACGCCATCACCTTCCCTGTCCTAGAATATGCTCCGGTGGCTCCTTGTTGCCCCTTAGGATAAAAATACCAACTCTGGTTTGGCATTGAAAGCCCTTCACAGCCGGATCTGCAGGCCTCATTATACCTCAGTTGCCCTTCATGCCCACTAGAGGCTAGCTAGCCTCCCGCACTTGTCACTCACTGATCCTTCCACCTGACATTCCATCTCCTGTCTCATGCCTTTGACCAACTACCCCTCGGGCCCAACATGCACTGCCCACTCACTTCTATTTCTCCTCCTCCAGAAGGCTTGCCTTGATCCTCCCAGGTGCTAGTGCTTCTCCATAAAAACTACCTCATATTTACTCCATACGTACTTCCAGGCACGCTGTACACATGCCTTTTCCCCTAACAGGATGGATGGAAACTCCTGGAATGTGGAGACCATTTGGACTCCATTCATCCTCACTCCTTCCCAGGCCAGAATCAGACCTCTCTGGCCTTTCTTCATGCCATGCAGCAGGCTCTATCCTCTTTTTCCTTCCTTTCTACTTCTTTCTGTGCTGTCTTCCCTATTGGAATGGAAGCTTCTTGAGGGTAGGGGTTATTGTGCTTGCATTTTTGCATCTCTGACATTTGGCAGAGTGCCTGGCACACTTGTTAAAAATGCATATTCATTTAGTCACTCATTCTGTGCAGTGCCTGACACATAACTGGCCCTCAAGAAATAACCTTCAATTGCATTTTACAAAGGTAAACAGTTCAATTGAACACAGACTACAAGAGTATGAATAGAATATGTAAATTTTTGGCACACATTTAACAATTCAATTCAGCAAGCATTTATGGAATATCCATTTTATGTGCCAGGTGCCAGGTATATCAAGATAAGCCCCTGTCCTCTAAGCTCACACATTCTGCAGTGTGGAAGCAACACCCTGTACACAGCTAAGGTTATGCGAGACACACTAAAGCTAGTCCAACAGATCTATGATGTTTTTGATTCAGGAGTTCCCTTCAACGATGCAGATCAGAACCCTGTTAGGGGTTCTGTTAGGGGACTCCTGTCCACGTGCTGCCCACTGTTCACTGCCAATCATCCATCTAACCAGAAAACTCCTCTGCTTTCTCCTGACATCAGGAGGGTACCAGTGGAGCTTTCTGGCTATCCACTGGCCCCTCCTCCCTCTTGTAAAGTGACCAGTCCAACTGCTCGTGGTGCCTTTCAACGTTCTTTCAAAACTCATTTCAATGAGAAATGAGTTTCTCATTGATTCCTTCCATTGCCCTGTGCGGGATACTCACTTTGGGTTTTTGGAGGTAGTGTGTACCATGTCCCACTAGTACATTGGTAATAGCAGTAAAATGTCAGTGTTGAAAAGAAGGACCTTTGTTATATGGGCAGCCTGGGGTCTGAAAAGAGCTTGGCAATTTCCTAAAAGCAATCCAGCTGCTATCTTCTTTTTCTTCATTTCATTGTCTATCAGTATGGTCTGTCCCAGATATATAAACTGTTGGACAAGCCCTATAGGGTGTCCGAATTTCTGCTGAAATCTGGGCAAAAGACATTCTTCATCCATTTTTTTCTATTCTGTAGGGAGAGACAGGCCAAATTCCTTTGAGGGCTCAAAGATCTCTTCTAAGAGGATCCGAAATGTCTGGGGGCCAAAATGCCATCTGCAAACACCCATACATTGATATCACTCAGGACTCTTTGGAAGATCTAACAACAGAAAAAGCCCTATTGAATGACTCTCTTAAATGAGGTGAAGCATAAAACAGGGAGATGTGAGCTTACTGAAAGTATTCACCACCATTATGGAAGAGATCCAAGATAGCACACAGCAGCAAGACTGAGGCAGGAGTCCTTGTGGGGGATGAGGTCCTTAAGATATGAAACATACGCAGCATAAACACAAAGTAATTTCTGGAGTTGAGGGAGAATGCATGCCACTGGGAAATCAGAAAAGGTTTCCTGGAGGAAGTGGTATCGGAACTCTGCTTTGAAGGAAGCTAATGAGTTACACATTTACAAAAAAAAAAACATGTTGGAATCTCCTAGCTTCTATGATTTCAGAGGTAGTACTGAGAAATTTAGGATCAACTTGAGTAACAAGCAGGAATTTTCTAGCTAGTAAAAAAAAAACTGGTTTGTTGAAAAGTAACCCCAGCTTATCCTGTACAACCAACAGTCTCTTGATGACTGATTATTACCTGGGCATGTTTTCATTCCATCAGGTGACATGGCCCTCCATGGAATGCCAGGTGACTGAGATCTGTTTATTCATTCCCTTCTCTTTCTTTCTTTCTTTCTTTCTTTCTTTTTTTTTTTACATTTTCAGTTCTGAATTCTCTCCTTTCTTCAGCCCCCACTCACTCATTAAGAAGGCAAGAAATACGATATCTATTATACATAAGAAGTCATGCAAAACCTATTTCTACATTAGCTATGTTGCAGAAGAAAAAACAAGAAAAAACAAAGTGAAAGAAAACATGCTTCAGTCTGCACCCAGAATTCGTCAGTTCCTTTTCTGGAAATGGTTAGTATTTTTCATCCTGGGTTGTTTGGAATTGTTATGGATCATTGTATTGATCAGAATAGCTGAGTCATTCACAGCTGATCATCATATCATATTGCTGTTACTGTGTACAATGTTCTCCTGGTTCTTCTCAATTCACTTTTCATCAGCTCATACAAGTCTTCTCAGGTTTTTCTGAGAGCATCCTGCTTGTCATTTCTTATAGTGCAACAGTACTCCAACTCAATCATATGCCACAATTTGTTCAGCTATTCCCCAACTGACAGGTATCCCTTCGATTTCCAATTCTTTGCCATCACAAAAAAGAGCTATTATAAATATTTTTGTACATACGTGTCCTTTTCCTTTTCCTTTGATCTCTTTGGGATACAGACTTAGTAGGTATTGCTGGGTTAAAGGATATGCACAATTTGATTGCATTTTGAGCACAGTTCCAAATTGTTCTCCAGAATGGTTGGATTAGTTCACCAATCTACCAACAGTGCATCAGTGCCCCAGTTTTCTCACATCCCCTCTAACATTTGTCATTTTTCTTTTGTGTCATGTTGGCTAATCTGATAGGTGTGAGGTGGTACCTCAGAGTTGTTTTAATTTGCATTTCTCTAATCAGTAGTGATTTAGAGCATTTTTTCATATGACAATTGATAGCTTTGATTTCTTCTTTTGAAGATGCCTATTTGTATCCTTTGACCATTTGTCAATTGGAGAATTTATCCTTTTTCTCATTGGCTCTTTTCTTCTTATTAATCTCTTTCATTGTCTTTTCCTTTAGTTACTTTCTTATCCATCTTGCTTCTAAACCAACAACATCTGATTATGAAATAATGAGAAAATAGCAAGACATGTAAAGTAGAAAAAGTTAGAGATTCACCTCTGATTCATGTCAATTAGTGTGATGAGAAAAACATATCAAATGCTTTAGCATAGAGCCTGGCACACAGTAGGCACTTAATAAATGCTGACCGATTGAAATGCTTTCTCTAGTGCTATACACCCAAGGGATCCTCTGTTAATATAAAATAATTTATCTCAAAGGAGGATACAGTAGCTCTCAGATAATAAACTCACCAGTCTAGTGACCACCTTTGATAATTTTAAGAATTGTGCAAATGGGGCTTTTAAAATCAGTTGTGCATCAGAATATGCTGTATTACAAACAATGGGCAGTAGATTACAAAGTTCTGGGAAAATAACAATAACAATAACAACTATAATGATGATGATGGTGATGATAGGTCACATTTATATAGCATCTTCAGGTCTGCAAATAACTTTCCAAATATTATTTCATTGGATCCTTACAATGATCCTGAGAAGTACGTACTATGATTATTCCCATTTTGTAGATGTGGAAACTGAGGCCAAGAGATGTTAAGTGACTTGCCCAGCTAGCATCTGAGGGTAGACACTCTGGTCTAACTCAGGGCATCCTGACAGGGCACTGTGCTACTTGGCTGCCTAATTTCCTGTTATGAGAGAAATAAGTTATGCTCTATAGTGTTTATGCAGGGAAGAAAACCACTATTTTGTTGTTTAAAACGTCTCTGATATGATATGCATGGAGAAAATCCTCAGCTGTTACAAGTCTTGTGGGGAACAAATCAGCCAAACTTCACAAAGTGCTTTAGTTGAGCGTAAAATTACATTATCTGTCAGCTGACCAAGGATTTAAAGTAGATGTCGAATACAGGAGTGACAAGAATTCCTGAGTGTATTTAATGTTAATAAAGAAAGCAAGAGCATTCCCTAGTGGGCCAGCTAACCTCTCTCTGTTCCACAGCCACCAAGCCCATCCCTTTGCTCTGGTCCTCCCCCAACATTTGTCTTTGCTCATAAGCAGCCACAGGCAAAACTGCATAAAGGAATCACTACCAAATCATCAGAAGTGGGAAGACAGATTTGGGTTCAGCTCTGGCTGACAGTGAAGGTACTGGTCTTCAAATTACCCCCCGAAAACCATCGAATGCTTTCTTAGAGGCAAGTCAGGGGACCCAGCTGTATGAAGCCCATTAAGGACTGCCATTCATGCTACCAGAAGAAGAATGCTCATAGTTTACTACCACATAAGATTCGCTACTCACCTCATGCAAATTCAGTTCTTTAACTTTTTCTTTTAATATAACCTGAAAAACAAAAACTTAAGTTTTTATGCTGATCTGTTTGTGTTCTCAGACTTTGTTGTTATTCTATTTATAAGGTTTTAATAGCTTTTCTTCTGCACAGGTAGCATTCCCCTGGAGGTTTAACATTTATCAGAATTTTTTGTTTGAAATGAATTCACATAGCATTTTAATTAATTACTATATGAATCATGTTCAGAGATCCTTTACCCACTCCCAAGACAATTTAATGCTATGTTTGGTCAAAAAAGTTAATCTAAATGTTTCTTCTAACTGGAGGACATAAAGAAGGGACAACATGAAAATGAATGTCAAAGTGATGAGGTCCTTTCCAACTCTTAAAAGCCAAAAAAGAACTCGGGAAGGGCATCTTTTGGGATAAAACTAGTTTTATGTTGTAGGAATCACATTTCAATTTAAAACGAAAAAGCAAGGAAATCACGTTTAAGAATAAGAATTCTCAAACTGAGGTAGATCTCTTCCCTGGTGCCACCAAAGAAGCAAAAAGACTTTTATGGTAAGTCACATTAAAAAAATAATAATCACATCCTGCCATCTTTTGCCTTGGGAATGTGCTCATATTCTAACACTCTGTTACTAATCTCACCCCCTCAAAGCTAAGTTTACTTTCCCCTCTGGAGGCAGTTTTGCTTTCTGACTGAACACAGGGGTGTGTTGATGTTCCACCATTACAGGAGAAGGGGGCAAACAGAACGTAATGTTTGTGTTGTGTTACTTGATAGAGTTAAAGAGCAACCAACGCTAAGTAAAACAGTTCAGCTATTGAAGTCTCTCTTAATGTTTCTTTCACTTGCCTGGCTTTTAAACCGCTCATTTATAAGACAAGAAAAGTTGTGAACTTAAAACTGTTATTTTTGAAGAACTCTTAAGAATGGTCGATGCGGGGGCAGCTAGGTGGTGCAGTGGATAGAGCTCTGGCCTTGGAGTCAGGAGGACCTGAGTTCAAATCCAGCTTCAGACACTTCACACTTACTAGCTGTGTATAAGCAAGTCACTTAACCCCAACTTCCTCACCAAAAAAGCAAAAAACAAACAAACAAACAAAAAAAAACAACCAAAAAAACTATAAAAAAAGAATGGTTGATGGGATAAAAGACTGTTGCCAACAGGTAAAAGTACTTCTTGGGATTGCTTGGCCAAATTTGGCAATCACCATTAACATAGAAAATGGAGAACTATTGGATTTATTGGAGCTTGGGGCTCATTTGGACAGGTCATCACTAACACTCCTCTGTTTGGCGCTCTGCTAGGTCACTTCACTGGCAAGTGATGCATAAGCTGATAGATGGGAGTGGCATCTGAGAAGACAGTAATTCCTACCATGAGATGCTACATCGAAATCAAAGCCAAAATGAAGGTTTATTGAATGGATACTAGCAAAATTGCCATTTAAAAGTCTAGGGCGTTTTAACTCTAGACAAAGAAGCTTCTAGTGTGATTATGATCATTGCAAACCACAGAGTCCGCATTAAATAGCTTCAACTCTGATCCTTTGCCCTGTTTTCCTTACTGAGATGCCTAACAACTCCTTATGGCACTGATATCTACACAGAAAATCAGAAAATGTGCCATGTAGAAATCCAGTTGAATGCTAGTCAATTCACTCTTGGATGACAGAAACTTAAAGCAGTATACACAGCATTTATATGCTTCCTTGCAAATAACTTCAAAAGGATTTAAAGGCAGACGCTGACGCATATGCATTAGATTTGGGAGTGATCATAAAACAGGAAGATTATGAAGAAGCAGTTCACTTCATTCAAGGATAGTTGAATACTGTAACAAAGGAAATTGCAGTTGCCTTTATAAATCATTCAATAAAAATATTTTCAGGTTCACCTAAAATGTACCTATATAAATTTAACAACCTTTAGTAGGTAGTTTCTTGGTTTATTCATACTTTCTTCAACTCCTGCTTTTAGCCCAAACCTTCCACATTTGATTATTCTCATTACAGATATACATCTGTTTGAAATGCATATTTTTATTGTCAAATTCAAATTTATGGAACATCTACAAATGGCAACAGTAAAAAAATTAAATACAGGAACAATAGATTCCTTATCTTTAACAGAAAAGAAAGTTCACTCCAATTGGCCCAACAATTTTTTTTATCCCAAGCTGTGGTAAATTTCCTGTCATGTCACTATGTTGGGCTCTTAGTTTTCAGTTGCCTCAAAGTTCTAAGTAAAAAGGCCTGGCCTGGATATATTTATTCATAACTTTAAAACTTCAATGCCAATTGACAGACTTTACAAGGCGATTACCCCATGATGGGCCTTGGGCTCAGCGCTGAGCAGCAGAAGAGCAAAGCCCAGTGACTTTCTATATTTTCACTGAAAACCCAGCACAGTCACAAGCAGCAGTTCGGAGAATGGGCTCTCCATTTTTAGGAAGAAACCAAATGAAAGAAAAGACACAGACTACATTTATTATCTTACCTGTTTGTAGGCATAAAATTCTTTGTGGGCCTGGTGTCTTAGCCTAAAAGAAAAGAACAGGAAGAAGGTGAGATTCCCCATGTCTTAAATCACAAAAAACAAACCACACACTGTGCTAAATGCAGGGGAAACAAATATACAAAGCAAGCTAGTCCCTGCTCTCAAGAAGCTCACAGAAGACAACACAAATAAGGGAGTTCAGCTTCAGGGCCTACGGAAAGGCTCAGGGGCCCTTTGGATGCATGAGCAGGGGTCAGATGGCAGTGCCTGGGGGTCTGGAGGGCATAATGGCAGTGCAGATTAGAAGGCCCAGAGGACCGTTGGACAGACTAGCAAACAAGGCAGCGAGTAAGGCCTGGTAGTCCTCCATCTCCAGTAAGGACTCCCAGCTCATCCAAGCAGTATGTCAGCCAGGTCTCTCCTCCAGGATGCTAGGATGGGGTCTGGGCAAAAGGAAGGCAAAGAGGAAGGGCATGCCCACTGGTGGTTCTTCCTATACAACAGAAAAAAATTGGGACTGTTCCTTGTAACAGAGATGTAATAGTCAGTGGCTCACTACTGATTTCTGAGTGAAGTTCAAATACCTTTGACTGTCATTCAAGGCTTTCTATAACCTGATTCCACCCTGCCTATCAACGCCTTTACAATCTTACTTCATATTACTCCCATTACACAAGCCAGCCAAAAGGGACAGTTCTTTGCCCACAGGACACAAACTACATTCATTTTCTGTACCTCAGATCACCCTGTTGTTGCTTCCAAATTTGGCTAAAAATGTCCCTGGTCTAGAAAGCCTTCCCCGATTGATTTCACCTAACTGACTGCTCCTTTACACAGAATGAGTACTCAAGAGACTCTATTTTTTGGCTCTGGTGTGCTGGAAATATTCAAGTTGTTTTGTCAATATGCTTTTATACCAATCTGACTGCATAGGTACAATGCAGAACTTTTCTGGGTCCCTTGGCAATTTTCTAAAACCGTAAGATACACATGAGATTCTTGAAATTCCATACATGGGGAATCGAGTCCCAAACACACAAACCTATCAGTTTACCAAGAGAGCGCGCTAGAGAAGTCAGGCTCCTGGCTGAGGAGCCCCTTCACCAGAGTTCCAGTTACAGCTGTGGTGTGGTGGAAAGAACAGAAGGCCTGAGCTCTGATCCTTATTAGTCATGTGACCCTTTGAACCTCAGTTTCCTTAGGGAGTGTAATACTTGTATTATTGTACAAGCCTCACAGGATTGCTGTGAGGAAATTTCTTTGTAAATCTTAATACTGAATAAGTGTAAGTCATCATCATTTTTATTAGCTGTGTGACCTGAGGCAAATGACTTCCCCTCTACGGGTCTCAGTTTCCTTGTCTGCAAAATGAAGCAGTTGAACTAAACGGTCTCTTAAGATTCCTTCTAGCTGCAACATCCAATGAATCTCTAGATTCACTATTGAAAGAAATTGTTCTATAAGGCAAAGACTCATTTAGTAATCCAAATGAGCACTCTTCAATGGGCCTGTCTGGTTTGCGTTTCTGTAGACTGGCTTTCCTCGAAGTAAAGATATATCTGTACTACTTGTGACTTACTATGTTCAGCTCCTAGCCCTGCCTTCATTTGAATTACATCAGCCTCTGACCTCAACAAGTATATTAGGAAATGCTTATGGAGTTGAAGAGAATTAAATTCACTTAATAAGTTAAGAATCAAAAATGATGAATAAATTTCAATTAGATTTACAATTTTTAGTATACAATGATTTTTTTTCTGGGGAAAATGGTGAACAGACCGATAAATTCCCAAAGCCTGAATTTAGCTTTTACCCTAAATACATTTTATTCTAAGTATAGTTTGTACTTGGTTAATGACAAGTCAAATATATATAAACTTCATGTATAAGCTTTTAGCTAAAATTGAACTTTTTGCACAATGTGCTACTAAGTTTTCTTTAAAAAAGAAAGAAAAAAAGAAAAAAAAAAGGTGGTAGCTAAGTGGCGCAGTGGATAGAGCACTGGCCCTGGAGTCAGGAGGACCTGAGTTCAAATCCAACTTCAGACACTTGACACTTACTAGCTGTGTGACTGGGCAAGTCACTTAACCCCAATGCCTGGCCAAAAAAAGAAGAAGAAGAAGATAAGAATAATATTTCATTTTTTAAAAGTCTGTAAACTACTAAGATTTATCTCAGGAATTAAGGTAATAAGCTATAAAAGTGAAAAAAGAGGAAAAAATTTTTAATAGATTGAATCCCCCCTCCCTCCCCAGTATAATCATTAAACTGGTGGCAAGAACACAGTCTGAGAATGCAGAATCTCTAATCAAGATCTCAATGAACCTATTGATAGCAGCTTCCTCCAGGGGGATCTGCTCACATCCGCCTTTTAAAAAAAGTGACATCTTTATGAAAGAAAGCTGCTGAATGGATGAACTGTAGTCTTTACTAACATTACACTTTTCCTCTTCTAAATCTATATCTCTCAGGGTTGTAAAATCTTGAAAATACACTAATCACGGGGCTCATAGATTTAGATCTGGAAGAGACCTCAGAAACAAGCCAGGCCAACTCATTTTACGGATGAGGATAGCAGACTCAAAGACACACAGGTAGCAAGGGGCAGGGTTGGGCCTTAGAAATGAGGTCCATGATTCTGAACTGCTTGACCTCTCCAAAACTCTCTTAACACTCAAGGAATTTATTTAAAAGCAAATAGTCAATGTTTGTATATTTAGTAATAGCAGTGCTATTTCGTAAAGTTATTTCCATTTATTAAGTGCCAAAAATTTTACAGAGATGAATAAAATTGCCAGTCTCAAGGTCAGAACACTGAAAATTGAAGTACTAGCTGAGCAGGCCTTCATCACATAAATGCTATGGCAAGGCCGATTTACTTCCAGAACATAACTCTCCATGTAATAACACTGAAAAAATCTACCAATCCCCTTGAGCTGTTAGACATACTGTTGACACACCACCAAAAAAGAAATAGCTTGTTTCTAGTTTGAAGATTTCATATAATTTTTGTTTACTGCCCATTAATAGAAACACAGTTTTTCAAATCATGAAAAAACATGAATATAAAAACCACAAAATTTCCCTGAACACTCATATATTCCTTAATAGACAACTGAAATTTTCTATATTCCATTAACACTATGGGGTATCGCCTTTTAGCTCTCCAGACTGACAAGTTATTTGTTTCTTCTAACTTTGGAATTTGAAAGGCTAAAATGGAATAAACAAAAACCTCTAGTTTCTACATAATTGAAAAATTCAAAATATCAACTAACCTACATGTGTAATGTATTAAAATTGTATAATAAAAATTATCCATGTGTACAATCAGATTTTATTCCTTTGCTTATGTTTTTATAGTAAATGAATAAAATTGTTTGCTTCTCTTTTTCGTTTGTTGGGTCGTTTAAAAAATATCCAATGAAGTACAATGGCATTGCATAAATCCATGCTTTCAAGAACTTACAAAGAAAAGACCAATAGATGTTATTAGGATTTTTCCACTCTTTTAATAAGATTAAGGGCTTAATGGGTTTTTTAAATAATCAACAGCCTATAACAGGCCCTTATACATTTTGGAGTGAAATTAAATATTTTATTCTCCTAAGCCTCACTTAATAATTGTTTCCTTTTCCTTATGCTTTATGTGAAATTTATTCTTTATTAATAGTTTTGGTTTTAAACATTAAATTGGCAAATTGCCCACAATCTACATACTGCCATTTATAACACATTGCTCTGACTACAGTGGTCCTGAAAGCAGTTCTATTTAAATGATCACAAAATCATAGAATTTCTGAGCTGGAACGGATCTCTGAGGCCATCTGGATCAAAACTCACCTGAAGAAAGAGTCTCCACTAGCCTGTATCTAACAAGCATCATCTAATCTTTCCTTGAAGGCCGCTAACGAAAGGTGACCTTGGCAGAAGTAGTTTCAATTAATGGTAAGGAAGGAAGCTGGATGGCAAGAAGGTAAGAAACAAACGGGAGGTGAGAAAGTATAGATGGCTTTTTCTAGGAGGCTGGTTGCAGCAAACAGTCATTATATAATTTCGGGTCCTTATCACCTCTTGATGAACTGTTCAAATAGACTCCTATCTGGTTTTCCTGCCTTAAGTCTTTCCCTACTCGAAATCCATCCATCTACATGACAAGATGATTTTCCTAAAAGGTATAGGCCTGGTCATATCCTCCTCCTCCTCCTCCTCCCCCACTGAATAAATTCTTGTTGTTGTTCAGTTGTTTCAGTTGTGTCCAACTCTTTGTGACCCCATTTGGGGTATTCTTGGCAAAGATAGTAGAGTGATTTGCCATTTCTTCTCCATTACATTTTATAGATTAGGAACTGTGGCAAATGGGGTAAGTGACATGCCTAGGGTCACACAGCTAAGTGTCTGAGACCAGATTTGAACTCAGGGAGAAGAGTCTTCCTGATTCCAAGCCCAGTGTGCTATCATTATCCACTGCACCATCTAGCTGCCTTCTGAATAAATTCTAGGGGCTCCCTATTGCCTCTTTCTGTTGCTGTGGTTCAGTCATTTCAGTCCTGTCTGACTCTTCCTGATCCCATCTGGGGTTTTCTTGGTAGAGATACTGGAGTGGTCTGCCATTTCCTTCTCCAGCTCATTTGACAGATGAGGAAACTGAGACAAACAGTTCTAGGTGCCCAGAGTCACACAGCTAGTAAGTGTCGGAAGCCATATTTGAACTCAGGGAGATGAGTCTTCCTGACTCCACAGCTGGTGCTCTATCCACTGCCCACCTAGCTGCTCCTCACCCTCTATTACCTCTAGGAGAAAATCCAAACTGCTCTGGTAGCATTTCTGATAATCCGGCCCCATCCCGTCTGTCCCGTTTCCTTAGACGTGATTGCCCTCCATGAACTTTAGGGTCCTGCTATAAGGCCCTACTTGATGTTCCTCGCACATGATGCTGTATTGCCTAGCTCTCATTTTGTCTTTTGTTTATGACTTCTAATCCCGTTCTTCTGCTGACCTCCTGGTGACCTCTCCTCCCTCCGCTCCTCAGTTCTTTCCCAGGCCTTCATGACTACACTAGCTCTCCTCTACTCCCTTCCCTATCTAACCCCCCTGGTGGAACAGGCGGTTTCACTCTATGCTATCCTTGTGCCCCCTTATCCTGTTGCTGATCACAGCCTTGCCAAGCCCCAGCCTTGGATTACCCCTCCCATCGCTGCCTTTGTTCCTATTTGCTTGCTGGTGAATGAAGCTAGAGAAAAGCAAGAAGCTGCTGCCTGGGCTCACTACAGATTACGTTTGCATGTTTCACTCTGGAACAAGAGGCTGTAGCCTGGAAAAACCTCCAGATCTTTTTCAACCTGCTTTCTAGCCAGTTTGAAAACTGAAACCTGAAAGACTTTATGGTTATCCCTATTACACTTCATTTTATTAGATTTAGGCCAATGGTCTAACCTGTCAAGATGTTACTGGAGACTGGCCCTACCATCCAGTATGTTAGCAATCTCGGCCAGCTTCATGTCCTCTGCACTTTTGTTAATCAAATTGTTTTGAGGCCGTGTCCATGTGATGGCTTACAACTTCTGTGTCATGCGGTTTTCAGAAACACTGTTTTACGATAAACTCAATTACAACCAATTTGTGAACTATACCAAAGAAGCCTAGAAAAATAAGGGTTCTACCAAAAAACTGGCTTAAAAACACAAAGGACCTTCTCTCGGCACAGCAACAATTCACTTTGTAAAACATGACACAGTTACATCTATGGTCAAGGCTTAAAATTCATTTAGAGAAGGGTTTATGTGTAATTAGAACTTCAGAGGACAGTGAATAACTTACTACACACAGCTTTTAAATTTCTAACCAAGTATTTGTGTGATTTTCTCTGTACAGTATGGAATAAGAAAAGCCCAAATCGTACCATCGATTCTTTGGTTTTGAACCATCAGGGAGAGTTGGTCAGCCCTAAGAAGGACCCATAAGAATCCACTGACTGTTAGAATAAATTATTACAAAAGCAATTTTTACAGTAATTTTTTCTCCATTCTAAACTATGATTTAAATACATTAAACAAATACTAGTTGCATACTTATTTAGTAACATGTGGCTTATTTTCCACTCCTACCACAAAAACCTCTTTTCACTCATTACACTTTAATGGTGTCATATATCTCACTCTTAGATTGAAAATTAGGATTCATTTTTTATTTTAAGCCAGGGCACCACGTGAGACAACTGAATGAAATTCATAACTAGACATAACTAATTTGTAACTGGTGCTGTAGAAAGAACAATGTACATATGGCATCCAGTAGCTTATGATTAGAGAGATCCGCTGAAAACACTCAAACTGTCAGGCAAGAAATAAAACTATTAAGTGTTTTAGGGAAAAGAAACTTGACTTCTGAGGCACACAGTATAGTATTAAAAGTTCTTCATTTTTGACAATATCCTACATTCCTGAACAGTGATTCTGTGTAATTCTCGATTATCATATGAAAACCGTAGGTAATTTGAAACTTGTGGGAATGGCTCTCTCTGTATCTAACAGGAATACTATAAAAAAAGACTATTTAATCCTTCAGTACAAATGAACGGCTAGACGGAAAAGAGAAATACATATTGGTGACCAAATATCAATTCGAAAAATGTATTCCTTCTATCTACAAAAAGGTTTCACTTAAAGAATGTATTTATTTTATTGCTTAAAATAGGCTGAAATGCCATAGAAAGGAAGTACAAAGTTCATTTACCTGATTAAGTAGCAACAGAAGAGTAAACTAAGTATGAAGACAAAAATTGCAGTGCCAAAAACCACAATGTATATGTTGAGAGGCAGATTCTGGAACCCGATGTTAGGCATTCTGAAACTGTAATGCTGGAAATCAGAGCTCATGGATATGCTGTAGGGAAAAGAAAAACGAAGGGGGGGGGGAAACAAGAGTATATTAAGGAGAGGACAAAAATCAAGTGGCATTATCTTTGTAAGGAAGATGAAAGAAGAGAGGGGGGCAAAGGACTACTTGTCAGTGTACTCTTTTTTAGGCACCTCTGTAGTTACAGATTGATAAAATCATAGATTCTAGGCTTGACTGGGCTTTTTTGGGAGGGGAAGTAGAAAAGAAGAGGGGAAGGAGACTGTAATACACCAGGAAGAGAGAATGATACGGAGAGTAAATAAATAGGAAGGATCACTGACAAATTTCTCTCTCTCCAGAGAGCTTTTGTCTTCTTTTTGATAACACTATAAATGAATGAATGAATGACTAAATAAATGATGAACTCTTCACTTCTTCAAATTACTCCTTTCCCATGACCTACTCCTCATGTCCACCTTGCTACACACAGTGCTGGGCACCCCGTGATCTTGCTATCACCCACAAGTGTTTTACTTTCAACTTCATGAACAATGAAACTCCTTTATCTGATCATAAACTTCTATCTTTCCATCTTTCCCTCCACCTTATGACCCTCACTCTTGTTCTTCATCCTCCCAGTGACCTCCACTCCTTCTACCCCTCAGTTCTTTCCCAGGACAACATCCTTGGCACTGGCTACACTCTCCTCCCTTCCCTATGTTGATCCCTTGGCAAATCAGTTCAACTCTACACTATTCTTTGTACTCAACCCCCTTATCTTATCACCAATCATTTCTTGTCAAGACTTCTCCCACCATCTGCTGCTTTTGCTTCTACTAATTTGCTGCTGAACGGAGCTGGGAACAATGCTGACTGGATCCACTACAAATTTATTACATTTCAACTGGGCCCTCACTGGAGCAAGGCAATTCTTTTACATATCCCTAATTGATTCATTATCCCACTCACTGCTGTGAGTCTTCCAAACCTTTTCATCCCTCCTCAAACTTCTTATAGTATCGCTTTCCCCTACCTTCTCAGCTGAGGACCTTGCCTCCTATTTTACTGAAAAAACTGAGACCAGGGCAGCTAGGTGGTACAGTGGACAGAGCACCAGCCCTGGAGTCAGGAAGACCTGAGTTCAAATCTGGCCTCAGACACTTAACACTTACTAGTTTTGTGACCCTAGGCAAGTCATCTAATCCCAACTGCCTCACAAAAAAAATCAAGACCATCCCTCCTGTCCCCTTGTCTTCATCTTACACCACTTAAATGCCTTTTGCCCCCATCTCTTCCTTCAACTCTTTTCACCTGAAGAGATGGTTCTTCTCCTTGCCAAGGCAAGGATGCACAAGTGATCCTACTCCATCCAACTTCTCCAGGAGATTGCCCTTTCTCTCATCTTCTTTCTTACTAATTTTCAGTTTCTCCCCAACTACTGGCTGCTTCCTTGCTGCCTACAAACATGTTCATGTCTCCCCTCCCCAAAACTCACTGGATCCAACATCCCCACTAACTATATCATCCTATATTTTTCATCCCTTTCATGGCTAATCTTTTTTTTTTTTGGCTAGGCAATGGGGTTAACTGACTTGCCCAAGGTCACACAGCTAGGAAGTGTTAAGTGTCTGAGGCTGGATTTGAACTCAAGTCCTCCTGACTCCAGGGCCGGTGCTCTATCCACTGTGCCACCCAGCTGCCCCAATGGATAACCTTCAGAAAGCCGTCTGCAATAGGTGCCTCCACTTTTCTTCTTACTCTCTGATAAACCCTCCATAACTTGACACCAGACCTCATCATTCAACTTAATCTGCTCTCTCCAAAATTACCAGGGACCTCTTACTTGCCAAATCTAATGGCTTTTTCTCAATCCTAATCCTTTGTGACCTCTCTGCAGCCTCTGACATTGTCAATCATCTCTTTTCCTCAATATTGTCTTTTCTCTAGGTTTTTGTGATTCAACTATGTCCTGGTTCTCCTCCTACCTGTCCTTCAAAGTGTCCTCTATAGGATTTTCATTCAGGTAATAAGCACAGAGTGTCCCCCAGTGCTCTCACCTGGGCCTCTCTTATCTTCTCCCTCGCTATTATTTTGTTTGGTGATCTCATCAGCTCTCATGGTTTCTCAACTATCATCCCTATGCAGATGGTTCTGAGATTTCTTTTGTCTAGCTCTAATCTCTCCCCCAAATTCCAGTCTCACATATCTCACTGCCTACTGGACATTTTGAAGTGAATTGCCACAGACATCTTAAACTCAGAATGTTCAAAACTGAACTCATTGCCTTACCACCCAAACCTTCCCCTCCTTCTAGCTCCCTTATCATAGTCAAGAGCACCACAACCCTCCCAGTCACCCAAGCTCACAACGCAGGTATCAATCTAGTCTCCTCGCTCACACTCCCTCCATAGAGCCAATCTGTGGCCAAGGGCTCTATCCACTGCGCCACCTTGCTGCCAGAAAGGAATGTTTCTAACAATTCATTTCTAATCTCCCATCACTTGTACTAGGACGTCAAGAACTGCCTGTATCAGAGGATCACTGGTCCTCTTCAAAGATCAACTTCAACCTATGGTAGTTCCCTGATTAAAACTGGATGCAAACTTGAAGCAAGAAAACTCAGACAAAATGACAGCCCAAACACTCTAAGTTATGGTTCAGTTGAGACAAATTTCTCCCCAAATACAGTGCTTCCCCTTGACTTTAGCCTTCTATCCTCAGATCTGCATGGGAAGGCAAGGAGAGAAAGCTAGAAAGCAATCTTAACAGATCCCTATCACACACATAGCCAACACCAAAAATTATGGCCATATAAAAGGACACTGCACATTCGCAACGTTCATGACTGTTTTAGTAGTCTTACAGTGCTCTGAACCAGCCATTACTAGGGTTTAAACTATTCCATCTGTTTAATGGTGAAATAATTTCCTCCCTTAAACAGATGATGCTTAATAAATTTTTTTATCATTTTCAAAAATATTAGGCTTCAGTCAGCCATGAGCTGGTTAATAGTCAAGGAGGAACAAAGAAAGGAGTGGAAGGTATTGTGGCTTATGGGGAAAGAACCTGAGGCTTGGAGTCAGTAAGTCTGGATTGTATTCCCAGCTTGGCCACTCAATAGGCAAATCAGTCTCCCTCCCGGTCACAAATGGGGTTCAGTAGAGACGATGACCTCGATTTTAGTTCCACCTCTGCCACTGAACAAGCGTGACCTCTGGCAAAACTCTTAACTTCTTAAGCCTTAATTTCCTTATCTGTAAAATTGGGCAATGAGAAGAGTCCTCTAAGGTCGCTTACAGAGCAAACACTTGTGATTCTGGGAAAACCTTGCCCTACTTTGTCCTGAAGAAATGGGATGTCGGAGGGAGGCAGAGAGACTTCTCATTTCGTCCTTGTCCCTTCAGTGCTTGGTACAGTGTCTGACGTGTTGCTGTTTAGTCATTTCAGTCATGTCCAACCTTCGTAACCCTATTTGGGTCTTTTTTTTGGCAAAGATACTGGAGTGGTTCGCCATTTCCTTCTCCAGTTCATTTTACAGATGAAGAAACTGAGGCAAACAGGGTTAAGTGACTTGCCCAGGATCACACAGCTAGTAAGAATGTGAGACCACATTTGAACTCAGGGAGATGAGTCTTCCTGACTTCATGCTTGGTACTCTATCCACTGCACCACCTAGCTATCCAACCTGACACATAGTAGGTGCGTTTAATAAATGCCTTCTGATTGATTAAATTCAGAGGAGCTTGGGAAGACACGTTAATTAATACAGAACAAAATAAGCAACACTAAGTCAATTCAAGTGAACAAGCATTTATTAAGCTCTTTCTATGTGCTACACACTTGCTAAGCACTAGGAATAGAAGTACATGCAGAAAGAAGGACTCCTTGCCCATTCTAAGGAGAGAGGATAACATGCAAAAGGGGGCTGAAGAGCATGGGCTGGGGTAAGGAGAGATGAAGGGATTCATTGTGAGGATGTTATATAGAAAATGAGTGAGAGGCGGCATGCAGTCTGGAAAGGAACGAAGGCATGGCTGACCTGGTCATCCTCCTTAAAACAAAGGTTCTGAAAAGAACCAGCCTATGAGAGGGCGGGGCTCGTTAGGTGAACCAAGAAAATAAGTTACATGTTGACCTCAATAATGCGAAGGGTAAAAACACCTGAAAGACATCAGAACTCTGAACTGTCTTAAGAAGACTCCTAATAAAGCCCACTCTGGGCAGAGTGGTGGCGGACTGCAAGTGCAGAATGAAGCCTATATTGTCAGAGATGGTCAATCTGCTAGTTCTTTGAAAATTATGCTTCTTTGTTAAAAGGAGTTCTATGGTGGAGGGAGGCATATGCAAATGACAACCATGGAAGAAAAACAACAATAAAACATTTCTTTTAAAAAGGAACAGAGTATATAAAGAATTATATAGTGTTTAGACCAACTAGAAAGATTAACTTGACTTCAGGTACATTAAATATCAGATCTTTGCCTAATGACCAACATATTTTCAAATTTCCAAGATCTCCCTCCCCCTTCTCCTGAGGCACTGAAGCCAAGTCTTCTCAAATCAACCTTGGATACTCAGGACACAATACAGCACTGATGGCTCATACAACAGACCCTTCATTTCCAGAGCCAGGGCCCTATGCACCATGCTCCTCAACTCCAGGACCAGAGCCTCTAACAAATGACTCTCCTCTCACCTTAAAGCCCTCGTCTGGGACAAAGATGTAGTTATCAGATAAAGTAATGTAGAGTGAAAAGGAACAATGTAATTCAATAACTATGCCAGTATAAGTAAAGTCAGTACTAAGGGACAACAAAATTCTGGACAAATACAATGTTAATACCATGCTATTTAAGTTAAAGGTGCCAGGCACGTGAGGTGGATTCCCTGTGAAAGATTCATGGGAAGACATGAGCAAGAATCTTACTATATAAGAAGGCATAGGTGGGTTTTGATCCTCACTGTTGAAGGGCTAAGCAGAACAGAAACATTGAGATCCATTAAAGTACATAAAGGTCATTATGAAATAGAATTAGAAA